TTCAGCTACTAGCCCTAGTCTCTTCCAAAGCTGCAGAGGGAAAACACTTTTCAATGCCTTCATCAAAATAGGAAAAGCTGCTGGAAGTTCAAAGGAAAGCTTTTATTTCATGCTAGGAACAAAAATGAATACGAATGGAGGGTATAGAACTGCCTGCATAAATGTGTATTAATACTGGGAATCTTCCTATGCAATAAACAGAAGCACCGTGTTTATTGCAGAGACCACATTTAGCTGCTTGTCAGATGTCCTGAATTTATTGTTAAACAAGTATTTTTCTTTAGAAAGTAAAAGCTACAAATACAAATCAAGATTAAAATGAATTGAGATAAAAGTTTCATACTCATTTAAATCTCTATGTAAAATCACTACCAGTTTGATTTAAATGAGTATCTCATAGGGAAGCTGCAGATAATTCCTGCTCTCTTTCTGGAGCAGAAGGGATTGTAAGCCTAACTAATGTATCGTAATTCATAGACAACTCTTGTGAAACAAATGGCATTGCTGAGCTGCGTCGGGCTGTTATTGAGGGATTAGTCTGACTATGTCTCTACGGCCTGTTTGGAGAGACACTATGGAAAATTGATTTCAAAATCTTCCAGTTTTGCAAATCATCTAAATGAATTTAAAATAAAACCGAACAAGCAAACAAACAAAAACCAAACAGCAGAGTGTCTTCGGGGTCTAAGTTCCTTTGATTTGCAGTAAGACCTAAGATTCTAAGTCTTGTAGACACACTTGGTGAAGGATATTGATCTATAAAGCCATATAACCCAAATTAACAAATTCAGACAAATAAAAATAATCTCTTTATAACTTACCTTCCTATATATTACCTGCCAGATGTTCAATTCATTAAAAATGCATTTGAATATAATTTAAATAATTAAAATTCCATTTTAAAACATCCATAATTGTTTGCCAGAGGCTCTTGCTCACCAGAAATAATAGTTTCCACTTGTTGTGGACACTTGATAAGCTCAGGCTGAATAGTTCCAGTGTTGGAGCCAAAGTTTGCTTTAGTCACAGCCTGATGTTGCAATTAATTTTAAGACCTGGGACATTATTGCTCAGATGGGTGATCTGAGTTTTGTTACAAGGAGTCTAATGAATTTCATCATTAGTCTGTTGTTTTTTATTGTCGGTTTCTGAAGTAACATGTGATTGGCTTTTGACCGCTAGTAAGATTTATGGAAAAGTTCAAAATGCTGGAGACAAAGCCTTTCATTTTTTGCAAGTGTAGTAACAATCAGATAGGATATATATATATACTGATTAGTGGGATTAAGGTTTCACCAGCAGAAGCCCTACAGAAATGCCAGAAAAGATGGTACTCTCAATGTACTTTGATCAATCAACTGCTGTTGATAAGTATTTCTGTAATTGGGCTTTCTATCAGTACAACATAAATATACATGTTAAAAATCAAGCATGCATTTAAGTCTGATTGACCACAGTTATGAACTTAAGAATTTTCTAAGAATAAGTTTAGAAGACTGCAGTGTCAGCTGGCTTCATTTGGAGTTTGGCTCAGATGCCTCTATACAAACGCCCATAGTATGGGGGACAAACAAGAGGAATTAGAGATGTGTGCACATCTACGGGGGTATGATATAATAGGCATCACAGAAACATGGTGGGGTGGCTCCTATGACTGGAGTGTTGGAATGGAAGGTTACAGGCTCTTTAGAAAAGACAGGCCCGGCAGGTGGGGAGGGGGAGTTGCCCTTTATGTTAGGGATAGGCTGGAGAGTATGGAACTCTGTCTGGGGACAGGTGAGCAGTCCACAGAGAGTTTGTGGGCCAGGGTTAAAGGGAGAACAGCTCAGGAATGTTGCATCCCAACTAGAAGGAAGTGCAGCAGGAGGAAGGCCAGGAGACCTCCATGGATGGATAAGGAGCTGCTGAGGAAACTCTGAAGGAAGAAAGAGGCTTATAAAATGTGGAAGCAAGGACAGACGGCCTGGGAAGAGTACAGGGATGTTGTCTGGGAAGCTGGGGAACAGGTTAGGAAAGCCAAGGCCCAGTTAGAATTAAACTTGGCTAGGGGTGTGAAAGATAACAGGAAGGGATTCTGTAGATACGTAGCAAATAAAAGACAGACTAGGGACAACTTAGGCCCCCTCCAGAAGCCATCAGGAGAACTGGCTACCCTAGATTTGGAGAAGGCTGAGGTTCTGAATGACTTCTTTGCCTCAGTCTTCATTGGCAAAGGCTCTGACCACACCACCCAAGTCTTGAAAGGTAACACAGGGACTGTGAGCATGAAGACCTTGGGCCCACTGTAGGAGAGGATCTGGTTCGAGACCATCTTAAGAACCTGAATGTACACAAGTCCATGGGACTTGATGAAATCCATCCGTGGGTCCTGAAGGAGCTGAGGAATGAAGTTGCTAAGCCGCTGGCCATCATATTTGAAAGATCATGGCAGTCAGGTGAATTTCCCGATGACTGGAAAAAGGGAAATAGAACCCCCATTTTCAAGAAGGGGAAAATGGATGACCTGGGGAACTACAGACCAGTCAGTCTCACCTCTGTGCCTGGCAAAATCTTGGAGCAGATTCTCCTGGAAGGCATGCTAAGGCACATGAAAATCAACAAGGTGCTTGGTGACAGCCAGCATGGCTTCACTAAGGGGAAATCCTGCCTGACCAATTTGGTGGCCTTGTATGATGGGGCTACAGAATTGATGGACAGGGGAAGAGCAGTTGATGTCATCTACCTGGGCTTATGCAAAGTGTTCAACACTGTCTCACATGACATCCTTGTCTCTAAATCGGAGAGACATCAATTTGATAGATGGAGCACTCGGTGGATAAAGAACTGGCTGGATGGAACTAGATGATCTTAAGGTCCTTTCCAACCCTAACTATTCTATGGTTCTATGATACAAGAGAAAGCAGAGCCCTTTTCAAATGTCTGTGTTCTGCTTTTCCAGTATCTTCTCCAAAATATGAGAGAACAATGAAAATACATATTTTAAACTCAAAACCGAGACCTTGTCTAAAGTTTTCCCCATCTGTGTCAACTACATAATTTTCACCTCTTGCTAATGGCTTTCCCTTGGTGACAGTAAGTGCTGTTGATTCTATAGGTAACATTCAGCTGGAGATCACATTTGATTGTTAACATTTTCCACCTCCACTGCAACACAAAACTTGTGGTTTTGCAAAACAAGAAGCCAGTTTAGTACCTAGAGAAAATAACAAAACTAGTGAGGAAAGCATTCAGTAATCAAGATAAAATCCTGTCACCTTCATTACCACTTAACGTTACTGTACTTTGAGAGCAGGTATTATTTAGTGTGAATAATGACAACAGAATCTCAGCTTGATTTCAGATGTTATTTCCACATAATTTATTCAAAAGATAAATTCCCTAATGAAAGATACTGGATCCATTTTAAACCAACATTATTTAATCTATAATTACTGCCTCAGGAATACCGTACTAACTGCCATTTATCACTGTCGGTGACTTTTGAATTCCTGCTATAGCCACAGTATCCCATTGGGTTTGTTTGTCTCAGAGAACATGATGTTTCTAGTTTGGCATGGCCCTAAAAAAGGAGGCCAAAACCTGCCATCCCCTAGAAATATATTTCAACATCCTCTCTGTGCTTCATCATAAAGGAGAGTAGGCCCATTCACTTCCTCATAGTTATTTCCAACACAACACATTGTATTTTCCATGTGAAGTCTGTAGAAGGTCTTCAGTTCATTAATGCTTTCCTTCCCCTTTCCTTTTTTTCTTATGAGTATCTATTTTCCATCACATTTCTTGCAAAGCTTGGAAAAGAATATAGATGCTTTGGCTCTCGGAGCTACACTTCTGTCAAAAGACCCATGCTCTTCTTTACTATTAGAATCTAAGATGCCAGTTAGGAAGCAAATGTACTTAAGAACATTAATTCGCAATTGGTTGAGTAAGAGCATTAGGGAAACTTAGTTGTGTGTCTCCTAATCCAGCCTCCATTTTAGACAAGTAAAAGCTAGATTTGATTTAGGTAATGACTACAATATTTTGATGCCTTTTACTTTATGATGTCTGTTGCTGTACAGTAGAAGACTTTAAAAGGAAGTAAAAGAAGATAACTGGTTACTGGTAAGAAACTTCGTCTCCTCTCACTTTGTGAAGGTCCTCCTATTACTGTTCATTACAAGTGGCAAACAAGATCTTCAGGTCGCTTTTAGCAGGTTCACATTTCTTTGTGTATTTTGGTTACAAATTCCAGACACAGCAGAGAACAGAAGCCTACATGGAGCCCCACCAGGACCCTAGGACACAGCCCTACTGTCACATGTGCTGACCGCACCATCCTTTAGAGATGGCATACATCATCTCACTCATGCTGTGTAGAGCCCTAGTATGAGGAAAGACTACAAGGAATATTTGTAGTTATGTTGGAGATATCAACCTCACTGACTACCACAACTGCAAGACTGTAATTTTGATTGCAGGTGTACATGCAAATGTAGAGCACTCCCAACTGTGCGCAAGGAAGCAATCACACCTGAGCCCTTCAAATGTAGAGACAATTACCCTAGCACCTCAACCAGCAGTCAGCATGGTGACCTGTCATGAGATCCTCTATTATGTATGAGTAACACTGCAGGAAAACACTCATGTTTTGTGAGATCATACAGACTATAGGAACTGTAGTCAGATTTTTTTTCCTCTTGCTTGAATAGTCTGTATTTATCTCCAGGCAACAGGAGAGAAGGAGAGTACAGAGAGCTTGCACTGTGATCTGAATGTTTAATTCTTCAGACCTTGCTTTGGAAAGGAATGCCATGTATAACGAAAATCGTTTTTTTTAAAGCTAGAATGAATTCTGATACACTCAGTCATGCCCTAACTTTCAGAAAACACAAACTCCTTTTTTCAGACAGTGAACAAGAGTCGCTACCTTCTCAACCGAGAGTTCTTCGATAGCAAATGAGTTTACTTTATGCCTTTACAAGCCTGCAAAATCTACAAGCAGATTTTCATGCACATACCTGATAGTCCACCAACATCCATCTTTTTCAGGTTCTTTGCCTCCAGAATGACGACAGTCAGTTTGCCAGCAGTAGGCACATAACGGAGGGAGAAGCAAATATCACCCAGTTTTTCTTGCTGTGAAAACAAACAAGGCATGGTGTTATACTTTTGTAGTCTTCTGGTACCTTTTAAAAATGCAGTTTTGAAAGCTCCACAGAAAATGAAGAGGATTACATCTCAAACTCCTACTGTTTAACAAAACATTCAAACTGACACCATGAGATATCAGACACAAGTTGCCAGCTTAAATCCTTGATAACTTCAAGTCTGTTGCAGCAACCGGAGTCCACAGCAACTACCCAGCATGGAGGCAATGATACATGCTGGCTGCAAAATACCTTATACTGCTCAGGATTTCATCCCTGATAGTTGGGGTTTCACAAATACTGTCTGACTTTAAATAAAGTCATGACTATTTTTTCCCCAGGTTGTGTTTCAGCAGAAATCAATTAACACACATGCATAGACCACTATGGGACAAAACAGTAACGTGGGTGTTTCTCACCACACTTTGTCACGGAAGCAAAAAGTATTAAAAACACAAAGCACAAACCATTCAGTATACATATAAAAAGACTTGTCTCCTATCTAACAGGGGGAAAAATAAATAAAAGGGCAGACACAGACCAGGAAAGCACACAGTGCATCCCTTCTCATATCAGAACAGCTAGAAGGATTTGCTTTCACCTTCAGCCTTGTAGCCCAACCTCAGGGCTCCTGCCAAATGCAACCTTTCACTATTCATTTCTTAGTACATTCCTAAAAGCTCTGGCAAAGAGGAAACGGCTGAATTATGTTCAGAATTACATGAACTTTGTTTTAAAAAGGAAGAAAATAGATCTGAACTTACAGACACAAAAGAGAGAATAACAGGAGAATACTACTTAGAAATGATCACTAGGATGATCCAAGCTGCTTTTCTCATTCCTTTCAGGTACAATGGTATCTCTAGGGGAGTAACAAGGTTGCTTCTGAGGCAAGAGTAAGGTTACACTGAACAGTCCAATAAAGCATTTCAGACAGCAATGTTCCCCTTTCAAAGACAGTAGTTCTGGCATGTCTGTTTCCAGAATTCATCCTGGCAGTAAAGTACATTCCCGTAAAGATGTCTCTCTTCTGAATAAACTGGAAGGTTGGTTGCTGAAGTTTTGGGGCTGTATCCAAGCTTTTTGTTAAGACACTACGTAATTTTTTGCAAGAATTATTTATGTTTTCCCCATTCCACAAATGCAAAAAGAATCTGGCAATTTACCAGGTTTGAAGAGCCAACCTGAAAGAGGTGAAGTTAGAACCTTACCTAAAAATCTGAGGAAGCACTCCTGAGGCAACTGGCTCACATATTCATGGATGCAGTGGGTAATTCCTAGATAAAAGACAGCCCATGTCCTAACGACTTTATCATCCATGTAAGAGGAACCCAAATATTCCTTTCCAAATGGGAGCTCAAGCTTCCAAGTCATTTAAGAGAAACTAAACTTCATCCACTAAACCAAGTTTTCAGCATCAGCAGCAGTTCTCTCAATAGCTCTTACACATAATCACTTTTTATCCAAGTTTGGATAAGCTTCTGCATTATACCTATTTGAAGCATGCATGCCGGATACTCAGCTATGCTTCAGAGTTTACATCTTCCTCCTTTACCAAAAGGTGTGTGAACTTGTCTTAGAAGACATCCTTGGGGATGCAGAATCCTTTGTTATGCCCAACAATGAACAGGCACCATACGTATTAAGAATGGTACCGCGAAGTTACCTTTCCTTTTACTTTTAAAAAACTTTTAAAACTGCAACAATAACGCAACACCTATAAAGTGACAGACTCTGAAGTGATTATTACAAGTTGGGAATGAGACCCAGGCATGTAATAGATGTTTTTCAGGAACTATAAGCTCAGTGATCACCAGCAGTCAGGAAACATACGTAACACAGAGTTCGGAAATGCACAGGAAGAGCATAACAAAATAGCTCATGGTTTTAAATGTGTGTATCACATAAAAATGTTGTCAGAATGCGCATGTGCCACTATCTTGAAAACTTACAGTGCCCTTCCCACCTCAAAAAGGGTATGGTAGAATTGGGAAAGATTCCAAGAAAAGCAGCAGGAATGATCAAAATTACGGCACAGCTTCTGCAGAAGGAACGGCTAAGAGGATTAGGAATCAGCAGGCTGCAAAAGGGTTGTTGGGTAGCAGTATCTTGAAGATCTCTATCTGACCCAGGAGGGCTATAAGAACAGATCCTAGAATCAGAAAATTTACATTTTTAACTTGTATCTAACAGTAGGTATCTCTGATAGCATGGACTGCACTGTTGTGGAAGGACTTCTTCTTCCCTGTCTGCATATACTGTTATGAACCCCAGTGTAGATTCAGATCATGGAAATAGGATTTCAGCTGTGCAATCTGCATAGCTCATGCTTGGCTCTAACTGAGCTTGTAATGGCACGGTGACAGCAAAACATGCTCCTGTTTCCCCAGTATTCGGATTTGAAAGTCCATATTGGCCAGGCTAATGGTGAAGTTGATTTATCACTTGCAGCTTGTTCAGAATGGAAGAAATCAATTGCTTATTGATTTGTGTTATCATGATCACAGCTCACCCAGCCGCCCAGTGTTCTCCACGGACACTATTACCTGGTATTCTTGGTTTAAAATAGCCTGGTTGATTCATGGGGCTCTGTATAAGACTGAAACAGGGTATATTTGAAAGCTTCTTTTAGTACTCCATCTTAGAGACCTTTGTACTCATGTATCACCTGATATTTAAGGGCTCTGCACTCACCTCTAAATTCACTAGACAGAGCTGTGGTTGTAGCAGCACGGGAAGTTTTATTCCCTTGTATTCATCAGAGATGTACCTCACTGACAGAATATCTAAATATCTATTTTTGAAGGTACAGTTAAATCAATACCATATTGTTCCTTTGAGTGGATTTTTGTCTTATTTTTCTTCTTTTTTTTTTACTTGTGCTAAGACTCGAGTGTGTTTGGTAAGCATAAAATAGTGTTAGGATTGTTGTTTCTGATCTGAGTGCTTCAGCAGAGGCTGGAGGAGGTTCTTTACAAATATGTATGTAAATTCTTCGCGGCAGTTATGCCACTAAGACCATCACCTCTCACCAGCCTTTCTCCATCTGCAATCATGTTATGCTTCTGTGCAAATACTGCAATTGTCTACACAGAAGAGTAATTTTATGGGAGAATTTAATGCATTTTAGGCTCTTTTAATGCCTTTTAGCTGCAGGAAGCTTGGAGAAGAAGCCAGCATCATGTAAACAGCCAGTTTTCCACAGATCACCAGCAAGCCATGAGAAATGCAGCAGATGATGGCCTCATTCCAGTGAATAACTTGAAGAAAAAGCAGAAGTGTCTCTTTAAATGCCTACAGAATCACATTTAGTACTTTTTTGTTGCTATTAAAATCTGTATTAGCTGCATTTCTTCAGTATTTCTTGTACTTTTAACATTTTCTCTCTGCTTGACTGCCAAAGTTTTCCATTTCTAAGCTTTTTTTTTAAATATATGTCAGGCAAAATACTCCAAGTGGCAGCACTGAAATGAGGGAACAAAATGCAATCACTAGAGGTGTGGTTTGGAGGAGATAAACCCCTGCAGGGCTGCAAGGTACAGATGAGTGGTTTTGGTGTGGTGATTATCTCATGGAGGTGCCTTATTGTTATTATTAATTTCTTTCAGTCCTATGTATAAACAATTTATGTTAGTAAATTGCTTTGATCTCTGATGGAAACTGTAAGTTAGTGTTAGGAACTTCCAACTGGGAGGTTCACACACATTAACCTATTAATGTATAATGCCTAAACACCAGTCAAAAGACTCTCTCCATCTAAGCAACTTCGTAACTTTACTACATTTAAAGAGGATGCAATGGAGCAGAATATAAATAACACAGTGCTGCTAACATTTATTCAGCTTAGAAAAGGCTATCTGAAATCCTGTTGAGAACTTGGACTTATTAAAGGTGACTCTAAGCAGCTCCTGCTTGTCTCATTTTTCTTCTCGTATTTGTCAGTAGTCATTTTTGCCTCTATAGTACACTCTCCTAATGAGCTTCAGAGAAAAATGCTATTTATGCAGGTTACTCTCATTCACACTGCAGAATCTTTAACAGAGATATCCATCTTCTTAATATAAACATTCTCCACATTTTTGTGGAAGATATGAGAAAGCTGATCTTTGCAGCTGTCTTGGTAAAACAATACCAAAATAATGAGCCACAGAGCCGTATGCTTTTCCTAATTGGAACTATGGCTCCAAAATAGTCAGTGGAGGAAGTATATAAACACAGAGAAGTGGGTTTCCAACTTCAGTACCTGGTTTTGATTGTGGATATTTGCATAAGGCTGAGAGACACACACAGCATGTGGTTTATGGGTGGCAATCCAAAATACAATTTTTTCACCAATCAATATTTACAGTGGAAACTCATAATGTTCATTGTATAGTTTTTGCACCAACCAAATGTTTTAAAACTCTGCAGAGAGAACAGGGACAACATAAAGGTGGGTCATAAGGAAACCCATGTAAAATTTAATGACAGAATCTCCAGTCCCAATTCTCACATCCATGGGCTTCAGACATTTCTGAGACCATTGTATTCTGTCAACACACAGAGATCGCAAATCCAACAAATTTCTTTTCTAGGCACACAAACCATAAATACACTAATCTGCAAAGGTGGCACAATAGTAACAGTAGCAGAATCACATGGATGCAGAAACGGATGACATAGACCGGCCACAACTTCAATTAAACCAGCACCGCAAATGTGCAGAATTAGCAAACCATACACGTAGCTGGGATCTACAACTGGGAAAGTATTGTTCCTCCAGGCACCTAGGACAAATAGAGATCATACCGGCAAAAAGAAATACTTGTTTGTTGGGCTTCCTTTTTTTCTTTAAACCTGAAATTTTATTGCCACAACAGCTATCTTCAATATTACCAGCTTCCAAGGCATTGCACTTTTGGTAAATACATGGTTAAAGAGCAAAGCAGAAAATTTCAGATCTGCAATATGTATAGTCATAAAAGACAATGTTTTACGCTTGCACATCAG